TGGGCCGTGGGAGTTGATGGGGATAGAGGGGGTGTTTTGGGCCGTAGGTGGGAGCAGGGTGGTGTGAGTCGAGTGGGGTGATTGGCTTTGGAGGTGGCGGAAGTGTGGGGCAATGCAGTCCTCCATGGCGTCGAGGAAGTCGTAAGAAGATGGGGATTGTGGGGGTGAGTATGGGAAAGTGGACTCATCAAAGGTAACATGTCTGGAGACAATAATTTTCTGAGTCGAGAGATCCAAACACCGATAGCCACGTTGAGACTCGGGGTAGCCTAGAAAGATGCAACGCGCAGAACGGGGGGCTAGTTTGTGGGGTGCTGTGGCGGAGAGATTTGGGTAGCAAAGGCAACCAAAGACACGGAGATGTTTATAGGATGGAGGGGTGTGATATAAGACTTCGTGTGGTGTACGGTTGTGAAGAGTGGTGGTGGGTAATAAATTAAAAAGATGAGTTGCCATATGAAGGGCTTCAACCCAAAATTGAGGTGGGAGATTGGCTTGAAAAAGTAGGGTGCGTACTGTGTTATTTAAGGTGCGGATGGTGCGTTCTGCGCGTCCATTTTGCTGGCTAGTATATGGGCAGGAAAAACGAAAAAGAATACCCAAGGACTCAAAGAAAGTGGCTAGTGGATTATTTCTATATTCTGTGCCATTGTCGCATTGAACAGCTTTGATGCTTGTGTGAAATTGATTTTTGACCATTGCATGGAATTTTACAAGATGGGAGTAAGCATCAGATTTGTGACGTAGAGGAAAAATCCATAAATAATGTGAGTAATCATCCAGTAAGATCATATAGAATTTAAATCCAGTAACACTAGGAACAGGCGATTGCCATAAATCTGTATGCAATAATTGAAATGGAAAAAGAGATACACGACTCGAGGACTGAAAAGGAAGGCGAACATGTTTGCCTAACTGACATGCATGACATAAAGAGTCTAACTGAGATTTATTAAAACTATCAAAATAGGAAGAGACGCCATGGAGAACTGCGGGGCTTGGGTGGCCAAGTCGGCGATGCCACGTGGACAAGTCGACTTTGGCTAGGTGAAGATGTGCTGGGGGTTGGCCTGGAGATAGCGGGTAGAGATGTCCGTCACTACTGGATCGATGAATCACGGCTCCCGTCCGTTTGTCCTTCACAGAAAAACCGGAAGAGTCAAATTCAACGGAACAGTTATTATCACGAGTAAATTGACGGACCGAAATAAGGTTATGGATAATATGAGGGGAGACAAGGACATTTTTCAGGGAAAGGGGAGGGTTTGTGTTAAGGAGACCGTTACCAGAGGCTGTAGTGCATACTTTAGATCCATTTCCTACAATAATATGAGAGGGTGAATAAATGTTTGAAGTAAATACATGAGATAAAGTACCTGGGTCAGCGGTGATATGGTGAGAGGCTCCAGTGTCCATGATCCAGGTCGGATGGGAGTTCAGGCTGAGATTTTCGAGAGTGTGAGCAAGGGCAGTGGGGTGGTTGGGGTTGGGGTAGGGTTGCTGGTAGGGTGGGGTTGGGGCAGTGGGCTGCGGA